ATAAATAAAGTGCAAAACCTGCTTTGTACTTGAATAAATATTTTAACTTAATACAGATTAAAGTTATTTAAAAAGCAATTCTAAAATATCAATACTCGTTAATAATCATTCAACGAGAAAAATATTCCATAAATTAAAATAAAAGCCAATAATGACGATTGGAACAAAAGAAAAAATACATTTAATGAAAGCAGTAGTTACAGGCATGTTCATGTGTGTACGTTTAACAGCGTGAGTCGAGATCGGTATCAAACCTACTTCTTTACTTCGAACCAATACGAAAATCGCTGCAAAACTTTCCAATGACAACACATTCAACTTTATTGCGTCTAGGATAAAATTCAAAATTGCAAAGTGTTACATTTTCGGAGGTGTGTTTGTATATTTGTTAGTGCACATGTTGAAACTTTTGTCATGTTATCTGGATTGGATCTGCCGCTAAGTTTTACGGTAATCGTAGTCCGTGTAGTACTTTTAAAATATTTATGGCGATCGTTTTTTTTCTGGTAGGTCTTACGTTAGTCTTACATCAAGAATTCTGAGAGGAGGAATATTTACATGATCTCCAGATAAGGGTTTAATAAGTGTTTTGCGAAAGCTCGCGCTAGATCGCTAATTAGTAGTTAAGGTAGCTGGCCTAACTAAGCAATAAAATTAGCTAGAGTTATATTTTTATTAAACTATTAAATACATACATTTTGCATGTTTATTTTTTAATGAAGTTTCCCATTAAATAATAAAGTAATTTTATATATTTTATACTATATTTTGTAAAAGCTACATATGTAGGTACCTAGTAATGTTTTGTGTAATAAATATCGGCATACATTAATTATTCAAGATTCATTAATTATCAAATCTATTAACGTACTAGCAATAACAGTAAATTGGAAAAACAAGTAACTTAAACCATAATTAAATGTTTCAAATAATAATAAATTGCAGTCACAATTATATTAAATCATTTATAAAATAATGGACAATATAATCGCGTCATTCATCCTCGTCTAACGAGATTAAATGAACATTAATTTAACATGAATTTAATAAATTAATAATATTAAAAATATAAAACACACACACACACACATACGAGTTTTGTCATACAAGTAAGTTGTTCATTACTCAGAAAGTAAGTGCTAAAAATTCAAAAGCGTTTCTGGGCACCGTTGTCTCCGCCCAATGGGCAGCTGTCTCCATCCAGGACTCACTAAGCCTCTATTATGTTTCCCGCTCGCATAAACACGCCGTCGACCCATAAAAGCAGTCGATCGCGTCGAGCTTCAATTTATTCTTGAAATTAACCTGTCGCATACGCTTAAGAAGTTGCAAGGCGCGTGTTCCAAGTGAGGCACGCAGAGATTGCGATGTTTTGAATTGACGAACCTCCCAAATTATTGTCATTAGGCTAAATTTTACAACACAACTTGTTTAGGGTTAAATCTTCATTTTTTAATAAAGTATCGTAATACGTATTGGTATAAGTTCTATATTTGCATAGTGCGTACGTCGCGACGTCTTAGATCCGAGCTGTTAAGCGTAAGGTAATATGACAGGCTAATCGATTCAATAACATTTTGCGTCGGCGATAAAGGACCATTTGATGAAGAATATCAACCTCATAACCATACGACAACCTATCTTTGGAACATAATTTATGGAAATACTCGCGTCCACGGTCCGCATGAATATCAATTACATAGACTTTTATTACGTTTTCGCGTTCTAAGCAAGTAATGTTTATTAAATCGGTGATTGTACGTACCTACGTACGTAAAAAAATTAAATTATTACTTTTTGATTAACGAGGAAAAATTGCTTAAAAAAAATAATCGATTTCTTGGTGGGGGAAACATAGGCGCCGGCGCAGATGTACTATCGCACCTGCCCAAGGACAATTTACACGATTCATTATTTGTTCATAATCTTGAGATTTATAAATATAGACAACTACGCGCATAATTAACTAAGCTATCTTAGTCTAACTAACTAATCTCGAAAAGAGATACTTGAGAGTGTTTCTGACATTATCAGTACAGTTTGTTAAATCGACACACGACCAATTATTGTTCCATTACAACAAAAGCGAATAAAACAAATGAATAAATAAAAATATTTATTAAACCTGCATCTTATTCTGACATTGAACAGACATTTATGTTTATCTTATCTGAATAACGACATTTGAGAAAATGATGAAGATATTTAAAGTAATTTACTTCCTCATAATTCATACATCTTATATTCAGAAGTAAATATTATGTCCATTAATGTCTTAACCAAACATTGCAGGTGCATTGTTAAATTAAAAAAACAATTCTAACTAATATTTGTTTTACTAAAATCGGTGAAAAATTATGAAAATTTATGAGGTCCTCGCGTAATGTCTACGATTTTTATGGCAGCATTAATTATATCTTAACATCTACTCAGCTGTAAACATGTTTTTTGAAGGAAAATCAACCGTAATTCTACTTATAAAAAGAGCATACTTCGGTCGGAGACGGCCTTACATTTTTCTGATATAATTATGAATAAGACGTGCGTAGAGTCGACTCGAAAGTGTATTTTTCTGTTGTTAATGTTTGTTTTATTTTACTCCTGCTGTAAGTAAATAAATTGACGTGAAACAGAGTAGCTGAAGATAATAATGAAATCTACAATATAGTGAGATAGTCAGATGAGAACTTTCATTTTATTGTTATTCAAAAAGTATGGTATATTTGCTAGATAAAAGTTCTTAATATAAAATTTACAAATTAAAAAAGTCTGACAATACAGACACTAAATATAAAAAAAATATCAGTCATTAATGTCTGTATAGTAACAGACATTAATGACTAATCAAAAAAATGTGTACCAAACGTCAGCTCCACGTGTCCCGCGTGACGTAGTTTTCAGTAAGCCAACGACTCGTCGAGTCGGGCAGGTGCTGCCCAAGCGCACACTTCTTTCATTAAAATTAATACCAATGTCGCGTGTGCACATTCTTACTCGATAACGCCTTGCCGTAATTAAGGTATGGCTTTAAACGAGCGGCAAGGCGGGCGCACGACTGCCACGCGCCGAACGGTACTCCTCGAAACGTTTAACGAGAAATTTTGTTTCCATCAATATTTCTGCTTATGGTATCAGATTAACCGGCTTGTTGGGATTCGATGCAGATGCTCTCAACTTTCGTTATTTTAAGGCCATTATTTTTGTTGGTATCTAAAGTTTCTAAAAGGAATTCTTGAATCGTGACTATTTTTAACAGTAACTTTATTAACAATGTAATAAATAAGCATCAGGACAATTCATAACAAGTATTTTTAAAATCAAATATCTGCTATTGTATTTTGATGATTAATGAATTGTTTGGTTTAATTATCGTGTCTTGATTTTTAGCTTAGAAACTTAGCCATAATATTATATAACGATGAAACCCTTATTTTTTCTAGTCAAAGCCAAGTTGGATAATCCATAATGATGTGACAAAATTTAATGCACATAACGCGTTACTGGTTTCCTTCGCTTTTTGCCTTCTGCAGTTGGAGAGTTCATCGATACAAAATATTAAACAAGTATATCGAGTTTGTTTATTGGCAATCAGTATTCGACGGTTTATTTATGTCGCTCATTCTTCAGCTGTTAACACTTTGAGATATCTATCTGTTGGGCGTCGCAATTCCGTCCGGATCAATAAAACTGACAGTAAAAAAGATTACACAATAGCAACTGATGTAAGAAAACAATACTAATTATCTATTTAGGGGTCTCTTATCGCCACAGCTAACGAGCTGTCGTAAACCTATAAACGAATTCTACAAGCCTTGTTTGACGGCACATGGGAAGATTGCCTAAACTAGCCTTATTTATTGACCTCCGCATGTGTCCGAAGGGTTAGTTATTATGTGAAATACAACGTACTAAATGGTACATGTTTACTCATTATCAAAACTTATAGTTGTCAAAAAATAAATGAGATTGAAAACATTTTTATTTGGTACACTTAACTATATTCAAGTACCGACCTAAGTAAGAGGATCTATTGTTTTCTTTTACCTTCAACTTTGAAAAACAAACAAGAGCACAAGTCGAAACACAAGGTGGCGCACACAATGCGGTGTAATGTTTGACAAAACAAAGGCGACCTGCAAAGCACCCCCCCAATTGACTTCCTACCATTAAATCCCACGTCATTGTCGCACACAAATCTTTATCTTAAAATTCGAATATCAATCAATCGCATCCGATTGGTCAATGCGAATCGAATCACAGCCGAATGGTATCTTGGTCACAATCGGTGTTGGGGTGTCGGTGACGTCGGATGCGTCGACGTCACAGCGTCCGACACGTCGCGTCACTCGTAGGTGGCGGCGACGGCGACCGAGAGCGATGCGATGTCCCGATAGCTCCTGTGTCACTGTCTTACAAGCATCCAGACATTCTATTTGCATTTTGGATGTCGTCTAAAAGACGTGTGTTATCTGTCCTAGCACATGTAGGTGGGAAAACAAGTATATTCCCATGGGTAAAAAGCATTTAGAAACGTTATTAATGGCTTTCTTTAGTATTGGTTTTGTTTTTCGACGTATTTTATCTTTACATCAAGAAATCTACTCAAGCATTTTTGCGTCTTATAAAACTTGAAGCTGATAATGCAACCTGAATTCAAAATCCTTTAAGATTTTGCTTCCAAAGTCTACAGAAATCATTGAAATCAAATAAACTGGTGACGCACAATCAAACCGCTTATCATGGCTATCATTCGAAACTTGGTACAGATGACAGCTTGTTGGTAAGAAGATGGAATGCCCGCTCATTGTTGCCGAACCACGCTTGATATGAAATGTAAAACATTCCCTTTATTAATACTTAATACGATCACCCTTTGATTCGATGAATAGGAGTCACTCAACAAGTCGTTAATCAAACGATATTGGGTACGAATCAGGTAGTTGTATTGTGTGATCGATGGCGGCGAGCCTTGCATCTATGATTTATTATAATTCTTCAACATGGTATTAATGAGACTGAAGTATTCATTCAACCGCAACTGGGAGCTACAAGCTACTAATGTAAGTTACCCCTTGTTATTGATCTCTTCGATATCGATAAAACATGACAAGTCAAAATTTATAAATCTTATGTAGTTAATAAAGAAGTCTTGAAAAACAAGCACATAGTGTCAACAATGTCTTCTGATACGTAATACACTTTTACTGGTGGCCCAGTCCATGCTTCGATATGTAATAAATGAAGAACGACCCATTTTGTGCAAACTTCACATAAACCATGTACCTACAAATTAGTTCGAACTAAGCCTAAACATTTCGATTAGATAGGTGTACCCGTTCTTGAGTTATAAATTTTCAACGAAAAGAGGCATTGATTTTTATTGTCATAGATTACAGATTTAACTGCACAGTAAGCAATTAAGATTATAATAGCAAAAAGAATTCTCATAGAGCGTTATTACTTCGCCTAATTATGTACTACGCACTTACATGATAGAATGGCATTCAGGCTAGATATCAAACGGTAGTCGAAAACTGCAGAATTTTTTTGACACATTTAGTATTAATTAATCCCATATTGCAATTCTACCTCTAGTAGCTTAATCAAAAAAAAAATCAGAATAATCGTATTTAAATATGGAATTTAGCATTTTTATTTCAAAAATGACCAATTACAGTTTCCATGTTTGTTTACAAGTCCGTCCATCAGTCCATTCTGTCAATCCCACACCAGTGGTGCGTAACTCCATCTACAGCAGATGATTCGCTTCCCATAATTATCACATCACTACCGCTTTCACCCCCATATCCCACGATGTTCCGCATCTCACGTCATTTGTTTTCACCTAATTGTTTTATTTGCTGACATAATTGTTTTAATAAATAGTAAATGTCACTTAATTTCCGGTGTGTAATATAAATTGAGGTACAAAACTGTAATCAAATCTATATCTATACTAATATTATAAAGAGGTAAAGTTTGTATATTTGTAAGTTTGTATGTAGGGGGTAATCTTTGGATCCACTGGTCGGATTTCCAAAATTCTTTCACTGATAGATAGCTACAATGTTCCTGAGGTCTATAGGCTATAAAACATCACGGTACGGCTAAATGGAGCCGAGCAGCGGGTGAAATCACGCGAGATTAGCTAGTGTCAAATAAACTGTTATTCAAAATATTACATAAGTTAATGTGAATAACAAAACATAACAATTGTAGTTATTTAAAATTATTGATTGAACATATTGAAAATTATTCTGCTCTCGTGATCTAACTGAGAAAAGCTCAACTAGTTTCAAGTCAAAACGGGACTCTTATTCATGCAACGCGCATGCGCATCACGGCGACGTCGTATGCTGCTAATTCATAAACAACTTTATAACAAAAGGAAAACAAGCATAATTAAGGATTGCACGGTTGACGCAGTCGCTGGGCAACTGGCCGTTGTGCAATGTGTTGCGGGTATGATTGCCGCGCGACACAAAATTTTGTGCGATGCGTAAATTGTTGTTCCGGGTCTGTGTGGCTTGTGTAGGTGAATTAGTACGTTTGAAGTGTAGGGCTACACAAAAAAACTTGTCTTAATTTGAATATGACAAATATATCTTATAAAAAATTAGACTATAAATGATGTGAAAGAAAATTTCTGAGAACGCAATAGCTTTTACTACCCTAAATTTGGCATTAAAAACTCCAGTAGGTAATCTATTTTTACACCATACTTCCATAGTAAATGTCGACGTAATTGTAACAATTTCATTTGACACGAGTATTTGAAGGGTAAAATAAATTGATGTTGTTATAACATTTTTTTAAAGGGTCGTCATGTCACATCAATTTCAGGGGGTTATACCGCTATACAGGTCGTAGCACATGTGGTATTATTGCGTATTGTGTAATGTTTACAAACAATGTTGACAAAACTTACCTACCTGTTTGAACTTATTTTTTATTCAACTATTGTCTAATATTATACGGCACCTGTATCACCGAACACTCAACATTATTGTTTTTGTGAAGATAGAACCTATGTAGATTGATATTTTGACCCAAAAACGTTTACATATTAGGTTGTAACGATATTATTGACCCTGTTTCCAATATCCAGAAATATATTTTTATATTTACAATAAAGTTCTTTTAAGGAATCTGTGCGTAATAATTTAAGTAAAATAAAACCAAATGAAGTCATAGCATTTCAAAGTTTCACACGAACACACTACATATTTTAACGATTAATAACTATACTAGATTTTTTTTTCGTGTAACGTGATTGCGTTTACAAACATCCAAATTCACATACACAAGCCACCCAGACCCGAAGTGTTACTCCGTGCAGGAACCGAACCCGCGAGTGCGAGCAGCTAGTAGCCCAGCCGCTCCGCCAAACGTGCAATCTACTACAGTCAAATTAGGCTAAACACTAATATAACTAAACCTACATAAACGCGCAATATTCTCTAATGCAATTTACTTACGTAATACATTTTATTTTCTCACAGACGCAAGATAATATCACACCTACAACATTGAAACAAGGTCGTAAATCTAAAACTGTATCAGCGTACAAAAGCATTGGTCAGTAATAATTTTAATATTCCTTAGCTCTTAATTCAAAACGAGTTTCGTGGGTGGTGAGATGACATGCGTAGGCGCATGGGGTACCCACCCTTAGATCGACACAATGACTTGAATTATCACCGCATTCTCATTGGACATGTAACTCGGATAACATGTAACTTAAGCTTATTGTTAATAACTTAACGAAATCATTGAACGCTAATAACTATATTCTTCTTTTGTTGGTTCAATGTTCTTTTTAGTTTTACTTTTTACACCTTATTTATTCGTGTAAGATACTAAATTAGTATTGAGATGTTATAAGGTCACACACACAGGCTGAGGTCTTGGTGAATCGGCGTTTTTAAATCAACGGTTGTCATTGATAGTTTTTTTTTTCTTTTGGAAAGATTTTGTATTGATTATTGATGTCATATATGAATACTTCGCAAAATATTGTCCTTACTTTTTGCATGATAAGATTATATGTAGGTTGACTATTAAGATATACAAAATAAAGAATATTATCAAGTATTTAGGTAAAGATTTTTTTGCGATTTAAGACAGCATTTCAATGCCCCTCAGCAGGGGTTACCAATCAATCCCATTGTCTTTCATTTACCCCTAATAGCTCGCGTATGACCCTAACGGAACATCGTTCGATTTGTAATAATCATAACAGGAAAAAAAATATCGGTTATTTACGGAACCCATTAGCACCTTCCCGCAGGTCATATCCGGTACAAAATCACGGGGCACAACCCCATGAGATGACTAGCCTGTGGTTTATTAAGAAAAGCAATTTAAATCTAATTTGAGATAAAGTAACTAGTTCAAGTTCAAAAAAATTTAACCTATGTTTACGATAATGTTTAAAACAATATATATCACTTGTCCAATCAAAAGTATACATAACTATGCTACGATTAAAGAATGTGAAACTGTTAACTGAACCAACATTAACCACAATAAACTAAATTAATTTAACGAGCGAAACTTAGAAAACGGTCCAATAAAAACTTGGACGAGACCTATTAACCGCTAATACAGGCCAGAGTATGTAACAACTAATGAAAACAAATACCTAACATCGAAACAAGCATATCGGTTCAATTAGTAAAGCTAAACAGAATGAGAGAAATTCGATTCACGCAATCGTATTGACGGTACCCGGTGGCTTTGATCAAAGGGCCGACGTAATAAAAATAAAACAAACTTTAAAAAGTGCAATTCATAGCGTGTTTTAAATCTAATTGATGATGGGCTGGTGAAGACGCCGACAACTGTCACCGCGGCGGCTACCCTCACACGAAAGGTATTGGCATATTTTAATACAAAGAAAAAATAACGATGTTCCATTAGCTTTCGAAGGAAAATTTCCAACAATTCAAAATTAAGTGAAACGTATTTCAAGAATGCTAGACACGTCTAATAGACATAAATTAAAATAAATATCGATTAATGGTATTTATGAAAATATGTGTTATTTGTAGGACCTCGGAGACTATTACAGCCAAACGCACTGTCCTTATCGGCTACAAATATCATATTTAAAAAGAATTTACCTTCGAAATTTGAAGTTATTGACTGACTTAACTACTTTTAGTACAAGGCGTTCCCCATTGATATTTACATAAATAGAAATAAGAGGAATAAATATTTATAGGCGTATTTAATTCATTTAAAGTTAAAACCGTGAATTTATTAAACTGAAATAAAGTTCAATAAACTTTACAAGTGCCATAACTTTTATCGACATGATCCGTCCTATCTTATTAACTGACGGTCACTTAAAATTAAAAGTCTCTCCATAGAGATCGACTAATTAACAAAGTAAACATTTTTAATTAAGCCAACGTATTTATCAGAGCATACACGTGTATCAGAGCATATACATGTGTAAGGGGCACATAATAGGAGTAATGCCATTTACAACATAACCACTCAATTCCCCAATTTCCAGAATTGGTTTCATTAACGTAAATGTCAATGTATTTTATCGATAATGTACCGATAAACAGTGATGCGACTTTTATCCAGCAGGTTCGAATACGACTTGCCTTTATAAAAATACCTTTAAACTCAAACACTCATTGAGATTGAAACTGATAATACTGATGTGGATTCTTAAGACGATTGATTTATTTTAAATATAAAGACATCGATACGCTGATTATGTGACAATATCTCTTCATCCCTTTTAGTGGCAGCGCATTAACGGTAATTCCGCAGATATTTATACGCACTTAAATTAACCTGTTAATCTTGATTATATGTATTATCTGTATAAGACAGAAAGGAAGATATATTTTAAAAGTGCAAACATTCCTGATTCATTGCAGCGATCTGAAAAGTCCTGTCGCAAGCCATTATTTGGAAAGTTTGTCCAAGTTGTATTTTATGTTACAGCGTTCAGTGGTCAACAGAAAAAAACTGGGCACGCGTTAGCCACCCTCCCCGCCGCACCGCACCTCGCACTCCCCAACCACCACGCCAGGTACGGACCCGCACGTACAAGGGGAAGGGATGATCGAAAATAATAGGGGAAGAGAATTTTAAAATTTATATTTTTTGCAGCCGGCGCAGGTGATATAACGCGTGCGCGTGCGCCGGCGACTCACTTGTACGTGAAGCTCCGCTGCCGCCGCTCGCGCTCGGCTCTAACCGAAAGCTCCCACGAAGCCTTTCCCTATCGCGCAGTGCTTTTCCGATAGCCGCGCCGACCGGTCGTGTTCCTTATCTGTCGCGAACGCCCGCGCCGCACGCACGTAAAATGTTACAAGAAATTCAACTCGTTCAAGGTCAGACGAACTACGTAGTCGTCGCGTCTGGATATCCTTCAGCTACGTTAACCAAGACAGCAGTAGAGAAGAGGAATGTGCCGATCGCTCCAGCTCCTGAAAAAAATTACGTCACACATGATACTCCGCCAAATCTACAATATAGGAAGAAGGTGCACTTCAGGACCAACCCTTACACTGGACCTCAGGCTGCATCGATCGCAAGACGTAACGCTCGCGAACGTAATCGTGTTAAGCAAGTGAATGATGGATTTAACGCTCTACGCCGACACTTGCCCGCGTCTGTTGTTGCTGCTTTATCTGGTGGTGCACGAAGAGGATCGGGAAAAAAATTAAGCAAAGTTGACACACTGAGAATGGTAGTAGAATACATTAGATACCTACAACAATTGCTAGAAGAAAGTGACGCATCTTTAGGAATTACCAGAGACCAGGAAAATAGAGAAAATATTCCTAATGGAAACACACTACAGTCTATGACAACAATGGATATGGATGATGGGTTCTTTTATGGTGGAGAATCACCTTGTTCGGAGAAGCCGGACTCACCTGCGCCCTCCGAATGTTCGTCGGGGGTGTCGTCGGCGTACTCAGCTGATCGGTACGAGGTCACGGCGGCGACACAACAACAGCTCGGCCCTATGGACGAGGACGAGTTACTAGATGTCATTTCATGGTGGCAACAGAAATAACAATACGTAAGTTCACTTACCTTTATTTTAATAAACACTAGCTCTATTGTTATTGAAAGTTGAAGTTTTCGAAATCAAAAAAATCTTTATTTTATCTTCAACTTAATATGCTAAACCTCCTAAGGAATCTCTGAGGTTTTTTGTACGACGAAACTAATTTAAGTTTTTTTTTTGTTCACAGATGAAACGTTGAGTGATACAACTGACCCCAACCCTCCGAAAACGATGTTCATTATTTATAAATAGTGCATTGATCGTTACATACGAAAAGACTCTTGTATATCTAGTCAAATCAATAGTGCCTTCAATATTTAGGTGATAAGGTTTAGTTTTAATTGCGGGGTAATTTATCAAGATTTCTGTGTGGTAGACAGATAAGTGATGTGCTGAATTTTTTTTTTTTTTTGTTTAATGTTGGGATGGGTTATGATAAATGCACTTTTTTAAGTGTTTGACTGTATAAAATACCTCTAAATTGTGCCGATAGTTAAGGAGATAATTGTTTGGTATAGGCTGTTATTATCATACTTTTAGGAACACTTTGTAGAACAAAATGGTCGATAGAAGGTACATGTTACCGTTTACTGATATTACCGAAACTACGCCCTTTTTATTATCGGCCGAGTCGATGATATATTGTAAATATACCTTAATTAGTCTTAAGTTACTAGTAGTAAGAAATTAAAACTATTTATTGAATCGATGTGTTGGTATTTTTATTTGTTTCTTTGTTTGCAATAGCTGCAAGGTGCGGTTCTACTTGTTTTTATGCCGACTACTGGTGTAAAAATGTCAAGTGCCTTAACAAGTTATGTATTTTTCCCATAAATACTCGTACAGACATACTATCATTTTTGCTGTAAAGCCATGAAATAAACCTGTTTATGTATTTAAACACAGGTTAATTTAATTACTACTAATCTTCCTTGAATTTTATTGTCATATTATTGTCCAAATCCCTGACTTCTAAGTACGCAGACTTATATTCAAATTGGACAAATATAGTCTAATAGTACTTTTTCATTATTACTTAATAACTAAGTATTAAAATATAACATTGTTCATAGCACGCGTCCATCAACATAAAGTATATATACATATTAGCTTTTGCCCGCGACTCCGTTCGCGTAGAATAGTGACTTCCTACAGATTTTTGGTTTAAAAACTATCCTATGTCCTTTTTCGAGTTCCAAACTATGTCTGTACCAAATTTCACACTACAGGTTCAGTAGTTTAGGCGTGAAGAAAAACAGACAGATATACAGAGTTACTTTCGCATTTATAATATTAGTTTGGATAACACTGTTTATATAATCTTTATACCTTTTTACAACATCATCATCATTGGCCTATAAATGCCCACTGCTGAGCAAAGGCTTCTTCACGCGCGGCGGATTGGCGATTTTAAACTTATAATTAGAAATCATAAGTCCAGGTTTCCTCACGATGTTTAACTTCACCGTTTGTCAGTGGTGTCTAAATAATCATAGAAAGTACATAATAATATGCATAATTATCTCCGAAAAAATCACATTAGTACTGGCCAGATTTTGAACCCTCATGCATGAGAAGCGGGCGCCGGACCACCCCAACATTTATAGTACCTTTTCATCACTTAAATATTTTCAAAGTTGTTATCAATTCTTTTGATGAATTGAAAGACAAACATAAAACTAACTTGTATCGTTAACTGATAAGCACACTACATACTTTTATACGATTTTGTTTGCGATGAATTAAAACGAACTAATTAAGTATATTCTTTAAAAAATAATTAGTTTAAAAGAAAAGGTATTAAATACTTACACCCCCTTATTATAAAACAAGGTTTATCTTTAGTCCAGGTTTAAACCATTGAATCGGGTTTTGAATTTTGAAACTTATTGTCATCTACCTTCAATTCGAAATACGAAAACTGGCTCTATGGCTTAGTCCTAGACTAAAGTAAAACCTTGTTTTGTAATAAGGCCGATAGAGTGCACGGTTAACACAGTGACGAGTTTGATACCCGCGCAAAACAACTGTGTTAACTGACCTCCTGGGTTTCGGTGTGATTTGTATGTCATTTTTTTTATTAAATTTTGACATTGTGTATTATGCCAGTTGACCGATTATTTAAATTATTGACCAGTTACAATATTATTTGAGTATCCTCTGTCCGGTCTAGGAGTTCGAAACTGACTAATGAAAATATTTAATAACTGGCTTCCACCAGCGGCTTCACGCGGTATGTTGATAAAACAATACGGCAATAAATTTTTGAATTTCTTATTGACTATGATTTGATTACTTGTTTCCTTTCCGCATAGTAGTAAGAATATCTTACCAATATTATAAATACGAAAGTTACGATGTTTGGATGTTTGTTACTCAATCTCAATCAACGATCTGGATGAAATTTGGCACATGTAATAGGATACACTCCAGAATATGACGACTTTTTATCAACGTACCACGCGGGCTAAGCCGCTTGTGGAACTTAGTATATAACATATTAAACGATACGGCAAATGCAAGTTACATTTTATTATAGTGAGCCTAAACTTTGAGAATGTAAATTAAAAAATCCATGCAATAAAAATTGATCTCGTTAAATCTCACCAATTGGCAATTATTTAAATTATGGCATTATTATTAATAAAATATAAGATTTGTCCTTTGAATACCTCAAAGAGCAAATCGTAGTTTTTGTTTTCGAAAAACAATGAAGTCTGTCAACAACACAGCGGGAGGTGAATAGAGGCGGATGAAAATTAGCATAATGAAGATATCAATGTCTGTTTTCGTTCACTAACATAATTATAAAACATAAAAATAAAGTCTTTGATTTTTATTATATAAAAGTTATATTCAAACGAGTCTTACACATATATATTCTATTTTTTAAAAAAACCTCTATTTTACTCTGGTCTGATTATAATAAATTCTACCTCCTTTTGTAAAATAATATTTATTTCATACGAATAAGCAAAAAGTTTCAATCATTATTTGATAACAACACTTACTCCATAAAGAACGCATGTTAGTAATTTATTTGTCATTTTTATAATACCAAATTGACGATTCTATTCTCTATTATTTCTTTAACAAATTACACGTATAAAAAAACGATTCTACTTTTAAAAAGTGTCCTGTTCCTATACTTCTAAATCCAAACAACCCGTACGTTTGTTTGTCAATCCTGTTATTACCCTTTATATGTAATAAATCATCGTTCTCCAGATGTAGAGAATTGGCGGGACGCTGTGCGATCGCGTCGGGATATTTCCTAAAAATAATAAAAAAATACCTCACACGAACCCAATCAACCATTATTATATGACACACGATGAGGGCAGATTCTATTAATTTATAACCAATGTGGGTGGATATACTGGCATTATTTTTTTAAAGGTCGCGGAACGTGGACACGGATAACTGTAATTTTGTGTTGTTTTTATTAAGATATTGGCCAAGTAAATTGTGCCACGCCGCCCTTATGAAGCCGTTGTATGAAGAGCAAAGATTAGAAGTGATGCGATAAAACATATTAAATTTCATTAAAGTAATAAGTGTGGAAAATTTACCAAAAAATCAACTTTTTAAATAAAATCGAGCTTTTGCCCGCGATCTTTATCGCGTGGAATAGTGACTTCCTGCAGATTTTTGGTTTCAAAACTATCCTATGTCCTTTCTCGAGTTCCAAACTATGTCAGTACCAAATTTCACACAAATAGGTTCAGTAGTTTAGGCGTGAAGAAAATACAGACAGACAAAGGTACTTTTGCATTTATAATAATAATTTGGATTAGTTTGGATAAAAGGTCCACTGGGAACTAACTTCTTATAAAAACTTACCTTCAACGCCTAGCTCCAGATAAGGCACAGACATGAATAAATCCTAACATCCTAATTGAAACCAGGTTTCGAAATATTCTTTTTCTTCTTTGTGGGCCCTTTCTTGGTGTTTCTCAAAACAGTTACTCCTTGCTTCTGTTTTCTACGAACACAAAAGTTAGATAGTATAATAATTTATATGTCGACGTAAATTATATTTGACTGCATTGTTAAACGTTTGACAAATTCACTTGTGGCATCACGCGTGAGAGCGACCGTGTTACCCTAGTGTTTCAATAAAAAAACGTTATTGTTTTGATAAAAAATGACATGCCATCCAAACATCTGATAATAAGCGTGGGCGGGGTCGCAACAAAAGAGAATTGGTTAGCACCATACAAACACAATACGGGATGAAGTTTTGATTCGGGTGTAAAATTAAGTTTTCTAACATCTCGGCCCCCCTTTGTCCGTTTTTTCTTATCGCACCATCCACACAATAACTCTGTTTGTTCTATTAACGACTTAACTGCTATAAAATTACTGTTTACTATTCTCGGGAATATTTTTCACTAATTACGTGGACCTTTCCTTCGTGGTTTGCGAAAATAACACCTATCACAACACAATATAACAAACAACAGTAGTCATTATTTATTTTTTGTCCGAAATAACTTTTGAGAATTGTTTCGTCTTGTCATTAATATATCAACGAATGAGTTTCTCCTCACATTAATCAAGTTGCGCACATATCTGTATAACTTCCTGAGTTCGGTTTACTAAAGGCTACTTTTAGGAGGTTTATCTTGCTAATGATGTTTTACGATGTTGCTGCACTCGGCGTTATCACGAGCCGTCGCCTACGGTAGCTTAATGCACGGACTATCGGAAATATCTAACAAAATCTCTTCTATGCCTAAGATAATAAGGTTCTATTTCATGATAACAGCTTCGATATAGCGAAGTGGTAGCATTCTCCGGCGGCTGTCTCTTTGTCGCCTCTCATATCTACGGGCAACTTAATTAATTGACGGATCGCGGTAGCAACCGAACTGATTAGCGCCCCTTTTTGTGCAACATCCTAACTCTTTTGTCGGAAAGTTATCTTTGTGATAATAGAATATTGAATTCACATGTTCCGCAACTTTATATTCTTAAAGTAAAACGGTGACCCGGGTACTTAA